TTTTCCTCCAGAGAAGTGGGCGCTAACGGTCGTTGTTCCAACTCCTTTTAACGGCCAACTGGCCCGAAACCGCCGCGGGGTTCCTCTTCCAACAAAGAAAAGACAGAAAAAACAGACCAAAAACGCGTCTGTCTGACCAGCTCATTAGTTTCCAGAAAGCGATACGACGGGAGAAGTTTTTTCCGTTGAGAAAAAGCCTCGTTACGGCGGTTAAACGGTGGTCATCTCTCCACGGGTTTAGAAGTCTAGCGGATTTAGTATCAGGGCGCGTTCACGGACCCCGCGCGCACCCGCGATCCCTTTCTTTCTTTCTTCTTGTCCGCGTGCTTTGACCGTTAGCGGGGACGGGGGGTGATTTTAGGCTTTTGCTGCCCTCATCTGAGCGGGGGACGCAATATTAACGTGGCTGATGTTGACACGGAAAAGACGGACACGTTAATAAAGACTAAAACTAGTAATCTGTGGTTTTAAATAACTTTGGTGGGGAATTAGCGTAGCTGTCGAACACAAATGAACAGTCAGAAGTCTTTGTGTCTTTGAAACTACGTGTCCCAGAAGCCAGTGCGAATAATGTTCACTTGGAACCCTTTAAAGCCTGATCCAAGAATAAAACAAAACAGAAAATTACTTTTTTTTTTATTCTTTATTTTGCCTTTTAACGTATGTAAAAAATATGTTTAGAAAAAAAACAGAAATACATTTTTAATATTAATAATTTGTTACTATGCGATAAGTCAAGATTCTTTTTTTTGTAGTCTTCTGCCCCCTGTTATCAGATGTATCTCATTGTGTACAATAGGATTTAGAGAAAAGTTTTTACCATTAAATTATGCAAAAGGTGTCAGACGCAAAACATTTCAGAAATCGTACGTATCAAATATGTAATGCATTTGGCATTACAGGGTTATGATTGACGTAATTTTTGTATTCACTTAGATATTGTTAGCTTATTATGTAGCACATATTTTACATCAACACATTAAGAGGTGATTTCATTACGAAAAAATAATAAATATGCGATAAACGTTTCAGCCGTTGGTCACATGACCACTTCCGGTTCCGGTTCCTAAGTTGCCCCGTTGGAGCTAGCTAGCTAGCTAGCTATCCTCCCTCCAGAGACTGAGACCCCGGCTAAGGATGAGATGCAGGCGGCTACGGGGGACCCGGAGGCGGACCCAGAGCCCCAACCAGCGGCGGAGCCCCCCTCCATGCTCTGGGGACTGGACCCGGTCTTCTCCGCCTTCGCGCGGCTGTACGTTAAGGACATCCTGGAGATGACGGAGTCCACGCAGGTGCCCGGTAACGAGCCCACGCACGTGCTGCCACGCTGTTGTGTTTACATGTGAGATGGGAGGGTTGTGTTTGGACTGTTGACATGTGGGTTGTCAGCTGAGCTGATCATGTAGTTATCTTCAAACAAATATTTAAAAATAGCCTTCAAAGACCCTGAAACCCAAAAGTTGCTAGTTTGACAGTTTTATACAGACTTTCAACACAGAACACATGAGATTAGTTAGTGAAAATAAATGTGTTGGAACAGATTAAAGTTAACTTCAATTTGACAGTCACGATTGGGTTTATATGTAAATCAGTTTAGAGATCTGATATATAAAAGTTTCCCTTCATATTACGACATTTTATCCCAAAACTTGACTCGATATGGAAAGTTTAAGAATGTATTTTGAGATGCCAAATCTAAAAACGTTGACATTTTAATTGTTTTTGTTTATTTTCAGCAGCATCATAAAACTTGAAATTGAAAACACTATTGAGGTTGATATTTGGGTTTTCAAGACTTTCTTTTTCTTATTTCTTTAATTTCTTAATGCTCTTCTAAGTTTTATTTTAAAAGACGATATTCTGACTTAACAAGCCTTATCCACTTGTGACTCTCAGGTGTTTACTTCTACAACCAGCACCCCATCTACAAAGTGGATGTTCTTGGAATTGTGGTTTCCAGGCGAGAGAGAGAGAAATTCTTCTGTTATGGAGGTACTGAAGGTCTCCTATTTACTGTCTGCCATCAACTCTCTGCTCACATGATCATTTAGGATGAATTTCTCAGTGATTGTAAGACTTTAGCTGTTGTTTTGGTTTGAAAAACAGCAAGAGGAAAGCAGTCAGTTTTGGTTAAATGTAGAAATGCCTTTGATTTAATTGAATTTTCTGGGTATTGTCTGCTGTGTTTTTCAGTGGATGATAGCACTGGTGTAATTAGCTGTGTGTGCTGGAAGAGTGAGCTACTAAGAGAGGAGGAGGACCCCACAACAGGTGAGTGTTTGCAGGCGTCCAGCTTTAGTCTTTACAAGGAAGATAGCGATGATGAATGGATGCTGTAAAAAGAAGACAAAGATGCTGCAAACCAACAACATGCACCTTAGTTTAGTTTTGTCTTCAACTTTATGTTTCTTTTTGCAATAACTCAGTGCAATATATATGTATATATATATATACTTCTTTACCCTGCATATAGCTAGCTCTTAGCTCTTAGTTATAGAAAACATATTTATTAAGTAGGAAGAAGGTCTTAGCTCTGTTACACTAGTAGGCAAGTAACGACATTTCGTTGTTAAGATTCACCTTGTGTTTTTTGTGCAATGACAACAAAGGAAGTCTAAGTCTAAAATGACTGACCGGGTGAACAGTGTGTGTTTGTGTGTCTCTATGGGTGAACTGTGTGTGTTTGTGTGTCTCTGCGTGCAGCAGGCCGGCCCCCTGGCCCCCGGGGGGGCTTCAACCCGGCCTCTGAGCTGAGGA